ATTTTCCGCTATTTTTACAGTGGGTCGCTCCTGTGGCCCAAATGTGACACCCCGGATCGGATCTGGTTACCCGCATCGGTCTGGGGGTTGCATTTAGTGGTATCAGAGCTTTGGTTTGAGTCAAAATTTTTCAAGATAGACCGGCCGGTCGAATGTCAAAATATGTCTGATCAGTACATGCCCCTAGACTGCAATCGTACCTCTCTGAGCTGGAACTCCTGGGCTGAGTCCCTATCTGTAGCGAGTAAACCAAATTTTCTATCTGTTAAGGCTATACTTGTACAAAAAGGAATACCCGTAATATCGGTTTAAACGCTGTGAAGTACCTCACGATCCATGTGAGAGTTATTTATCTGAAAAATTCTGACTTGACTCCGGAAATGAAATTGGGATATGCTACTGCTCTATGAGCCTATTCTCGTGACAAAGACTGAATTGATTACTCAAGGAAATTTTCATTCAGATTCTTTTATTGAAATGAGGAAAAGTTATGATAAGAATGTATGCTCAGCTGGTTAAGGATTAGTGGAGGATCCGTACTTTTGTAAAAGCTACTTAAAGATATGAGAGAACTGATGAAAGTTTTATTTCTGCAATTATGTGACATGAATGCATTTCGAGGACGAAATTCTTTTTAAGGAGGGGGAGAATTGTAACACCTCAATTTAGGGGCTAAAATTAATTTGGTATTTTGAAAGAAATAGTGGGTTAAATTGCAAAATTTTAAAGTTGGCAGACCGTTTTATGAAGTGCAGGAAGTTTAGTGGCTAAACTCTTGGTTTAACCATTTTTAATTATGAGATGATATAAACCCCCAATTTCCCGTATGTTTCTAGAAATTTTTCCAGTTTTCCCTCTCCCATCAACCCCTCTTTCAACTCCGATCTACTCGCCGTCCGACCTCCGATCGACGAACTGAAACCACCATCGTGTTCGTTGTCAAGCGAGGAATAAAACCCCTCAAAGCTTTTGTCGTGAATCGTCGCCGTTTGTCGTTAATTTTAGTCGGAAGTATCGTCGGTAATAACTCAATTTCAATTGGTTTTTTCGTCGATTCACGACGATCCGAGCATCCGTTTATGACACCTCCCGCATCATCGTGTTCCTTGCATCGTTCTGAGTCTGCCAGTGTCATCCTTGGTCTCCGTCGACGGCGGCACATGAGGAGGTGAAGCGGTCAAAGTTTCTGATTTGTTGAAATCGAGCTCTCCGCCGTTCAAAATTGTGAATCGAGCTTTGTAAGTATCTCGAAATCGCTCAAAATAATTTTTAGGAATTTTTCCGAGAATTTAGCACTGTTCACGTGCCCCCATGCGCCACCACTGCGCGTGGGGAAGGAAAAAGTGACCGGTTTGACCGGTTTTGGGAACTGTTTTGACTGGTTTGATCGGTTTTGGAACTGTTTTGACCGGTCACAACCTGACCCGATCCGTTGACCCGACCCGATTCGTTGACCATTGACCATTGACCACTGTTGACCAAAACTTTGACAGGCTTTGACTGTCATTAAACGACCTTTGACTTTGACCGTGTATACCTATCCTGACATTTTTCGACGTTCCAAATCCAATTTCGTAGTCCGTTTTTCGAAATTCAGACCAGAAGGCCTCGATATTGGCAGTCAAACCCGTTGACTTTGATTTTGACCGAAAATTCCAAATTTCCTGAAAGGTCGTATTTTATGCTTTCGACGTCCTAAATTCGAATCCGAAGTCCGTTTCGCCAAATTCGAAACTGGTAAGCTATTTTTCACTGATTTATCACCCAATTCGATCCGTTTATCGTAATTAAGCTCCGTTTTTATATAATTTATGTTTATATGTATCTGAGGAATTATTGGAAGTTGAATTCAAGATCGAGAGGGTTCAAATGGAATTTATTGGTCGATCAGTATTGCATGAAAATCGAGGTAATACTTTACTACCTCTTTATGCTTTATAGAACATGTTGGTATTGGTAAATGCATGAATGGAAATATTTGGTCTCATATATTAATTAATGAAGATCTATATTAGATACGAATACGGTAGAAAGTAGGTAACTAAATATGGCTCAGATGACTATTATAAGAAATTGAAGGACAATTGGAATTAAATTACAAGTTCTGGAATTAAGTGATAAAAGAATCAACCATAGATATGTAGATTATAATTTATCTCATTAAAGGTACTTAGATGATAAATTATGAGAATATTTCGATTAGGTAAAATTATGAAATTACCCTTATGTTGGAAAATGACAAGAATTGTCCCTGGAAGTGGATTAATAAATCTGAAAAGAATTACTGATCTGCTAAAACTATTGATGTGCGTAAGAAATGTTAGTTTTACCTGGAAATTATGGATAACCGATTTTTAACCCCAAGAAGGTTTATGCTAGATACTAGAAGTCTTTTTAGGAATCATTTCAAGATCAAAGAATGTTCGAGGAAGCAATTAATCACATGATCTCTATATTATATTATTTTCGTTAAGAGCTAATATCGAAATTATCTGGTTAAGAAATTACAAAAATGCCCTTTAGAGGTAAAATAGTCAGAGTTGACCATGAAGGAGAAAGTACTTTGAGGATTTGTACTTAACTCGATTAAGTACGAATTTAATTATTAAGATACTGTCTTTGTAAAGAAAAATTCAAGATTTTTCGTTTGTAAAATCCGAGAAGGCACTTGACCCGAAAATATCCGAGTTATGAGTAAATACCTAAAGAACAATTTATCAGAGGGTGCTCTTTTATCAGAATTATTCGAAAGGACTGGAATAGATGATAAATTGGAATTAAATAATAAGACCGGATGGAGGGAAAAGATTGAAATACTGTAAATCTATAAAATGACCAAAATACCCCTATCATGGAAATGACCCAAGAATATCACCAAGCTCAGGAATGATTAGATATCCTCGAGCTCTGAAATGAATAGAATAAAACTGAGCATCAAAATAACCAAAATACCCTTATGGCCTATATTAAGTAAATATCTTGGATTAATTAAGGAATCCAAATAAGGATAGGTGTTAGACTACCTTTAGAAGTTATGGAACAGAGCTTAAGTGAGTTCATCAATCTTAATGATATGTCAGTACCTGTACGGCATAGATGTTACTTGAATGTTTATTCGCCTTCTCAAGTTTGGTTCGATGATAATTTTGGAAGTACTCAGCCCGGCCCAACTCTATATCGTCTTCGGTACTAAGAAATATATATATTCATTAGACAAATAAACCTCGAAGACCAAATTGAATTGAACGAAAGTACAATATGTTTACGAATTTCAGAAACGTCTGGATTACCCTAGAAAACCCCGAAGTATCTAAAATGGACTTGAATACTAAATGAACTAAGTAACCTCAAAGACCGAGGATTAAGTAAGAGATTGGAATAAGTTTGGAAACTCGGATGAACTTATATGATGTATTATCCCTATGGATTATGAACCACAAATCAAGTACGTCAGCATTTCCTGGTATAGTTGAAACATGTAAATGAAATAAAGACCATTAGAATATTTGTTTGTCTCCTTAAGATTTATTCAGTGATGACTCAGAAAATGATATGTGGATAAGAATATTTGGTATTAAAGAGTAAATACCCTGGAAGGTTAATGAATTGACAAGTTGGTAAGTATTGGTTCTGGGAGCTATTCATGTGGAGTTTTTCGATAATTGGATTAATCGTCATAGATTGTAAAGATTCTGAATACCTTCTAATTTCGTAGAGATTCAGAAAAAGTGTTCGAATAAGATAATCCCGATAAATCATATCCTGAATAACTGATGATTCTGTCAGTTAATGAACTTTTCAAATAGTTTTTCTAACTTCCGACATTCTATCGGTAAACTGAAGATTTGTGTCTCTCTACCCGATAAGATTATCCAATATCTCTGAATAATATCTGTAAACTCTGGTGTGTTCCCTAATCATATAAATATTTTATCTGATTTTCGACTTGAATTCTTTTCTGATATATGACCTGAATTTTGTTCTGATTTCTGATCTGGATTCTGTTATGATATCTGTTCTGAATTCTATTTTGATTTTTGATTTCTTCGTTTAATGACGGAAAAATGTTTTAATTGGGGGATATTGTTGAAGGAAGTATTTCCGCAGATTCCTCGGCTTTGTGCTTAGGGCCTTATATGATGTGTTGGGTTGGGTGTATGGTTCTGGGGAACCTACACATTTTGATGAGATGGGATGGGGGTATATATATATATGTTTTAAAAGATCTGTATCTTTTTACTGGTTTTACGGGAAACACTAGATAACCTATTCTGATCTCCTGAACTCGGTCATCCAAAATATTTGTCTGAACTGAAAGCTCGTTGTCTGTTACCATCTGAAATATCAGTAGGATCTCTGCTCAACATAAAAATCTGTAAATTTTCGGAAATAATAAGGATATGTATGTTTATCTGTATCTGCACGTTCTTCAGCATCATCTGGTATTTCTGTATTACTGAGCTTTTCGAAGCTCACTCTATTACTCGCCTTTTCAGGTTAAAAGAATTGTACCAGTGCATCTATCGACTTCAGTAAGGGAGTTCTTCCGGCGTTGTTGCAAAGTATGGTACATGTAATTAGGGGGCATGTAATTGTATTTTGATTTATATACGAGTCTCGAAATCTGTTTTATTTTTAAATAGTGACAACTGATTTTATTAGTTTACATGTACTGATAAAAAAGTTTTAAATTTTCTGCTATTTTTATAGTGGATCGCTCCGGTGGCCCAAATGTAACACCCCAGATCGAATCTGGTTACCCGCATCGGTCTGGGGTTACAGTGAGGGTTCTTTAAATTTCTCGGAGGAAAACCAACTTCTGAGCTCAACTTTTCCGATTTTAAACCAAACAATCAAAATTATCTTTTTCATAAAAGATTTTAAAAAATTCTAAAAAGTGAGTTTATATGTATTAAGTCATACCTAATTAAAAACAATAAATTGTCAAAAAAAATGTTTCGAACGTAATGAAACGGTTTCGACAACTAATCAACGTTGAACACAAAGATTCAAAATGAAAAACAAACACTGCTTTATAAATTGGCTCTAGGACAAGTACTTATAAAGATCTCACATGCTGTGGGTTTATATCTTACATGGCCAGATCCTTCACTAAGTACTCACCCTCTTTCGGCCTTGTCCGCAACATTTTTATTAATCTGTGTATGCGTGTAGTCCAAGATCTATTCGTTTAGGGCAATTCCATTGAACCTTGAGAAAATATTGAGGTTACGAAAGTGAGAGGTGGGTGCTGATTTCCTGGTGGCCTTTGCAATTGGTCCTCGTCTCACCTTCAATTCCACTTATTTGGCTTAGCCTTAACTGCAGATCCGGCAACCAATCCCTGTCTTTCAGCTTTTTATCCTGCTTCAACTGCAGTTCCAAGAATGTAACCAATAAGTTATTTCAAAAGCAGTTTTGTTAATGAAAAAAAGAAGAAGATAAATGTGAAATGAATTTCTTAATTACTGATACAAAAACTGTGTAAGAACTTTTTTCTGAAAAATGTAAACTATATGTTGGTACTGCGAATAATGGGTACCTAAACTTCGGGAGTGGGTTACCCTATTTAGGAGTGGTTCGAAGGACTATTTGTCATTTGATAATCTTATTCTTCTACTATTTTTATAAAAGGACATGCCCTCTCTCTAGTTGGAATATAATTGGATGGCTCCTTTCTTTTCTTATCGGGTTTTTTTGTTGGAGAGACCAATACAAGTAGATTTCACTTCCTTATTTTGAATGTACAAAGTTTGTAAGGTTGTACTGACCTTAAAGGGCAACGTCCATTTTTTGGAATCACATCCGAACGAAGTTATTTTTAAAATGAAGTCTTGTACCACGTCGTAATAAATCGTAGAATTTTTCTATTATTTTATTATTATTTACTAATCAATACTAACGTTTTTGTTTTACAACAATTTTATTTTCTAACACTGTATTTTCAGCGATAATGTACGAATATACATCATCAATATGTCTAATCTAAATCCGTGTAATATCCAGTCATAGAAGTTATGCACTAGGCATGCACATGTGCATCAGTGCATGCATAATCATAGATTCATAGTATCAAAATATAAACCCTAAAAAGAAGTCCTAAAATAGCATTGTAGCTATCATGATCATGAATAAGCAATTAAGCATCTTGTAGGTCAAAGTCCAGCAAGAGTTATTACCTCGAGCAAAATCGGTGTCTCAAGCTCCGTACTACATCTATCGAACTTGCTCAAGGTATCGTGCTTGTAGGGTGCCACCACTTTCTTGTTTCCTTCAGTTGGCCATGTGAAGTAACCTCTTCCACATGAGCTTGGTCTTCTGCAAAAATATTGTGATGGAGATTGCGAGAAAATGTCAGCAAAGCTGCCTAGCTTGGGCATATTTCCATTGAACCTCCATCTATCACCCATGGTTTCAAAAGGATGCCACCTCTTCCCATCAAGTGTTCGCCCAGTTTTCATCGCTCCGATTCGCATGCTCATATCCATTCCATGAATTTGGTTTGTCTGGTGTCTATATAAAAAGAAATTAAGAACTCATTGAGCGGATTCAATGATACAAAGGAATGTGGTTATCCTTAAAAGATACAGATCCAAATAATTATGTCTGGATGATGTGTGTATTGTTGTAGAATGGATAACCTTGGAAAGGTAGCTTTGAAATCTAACGGTGGTTGGTAACAAGGAGAGTAAACAAATCCACCATTTTCCATTTTGAAATGTAGATGGTGAGTTGAGGACTGCTGCAACATGCTTTTGGATTCATCCCCTCCTTGAGTTCCTATATTTCTTTGGCTCAAAACTGCATGATAAATACAAGAATATGAGCCTTAATTATTAAATAGTTAAAAGTCTTTGAACATATATTACCTTGTATTCACTTCAAATTTATCATAATATATATATATATATATATACCCTAAATTCTTTGTACCTATTGAATTGCAAATTGCTTTTACAGTTTTTATTTTTCAAGTGAATTTATTTTTATTAATTTTAATTATAAAATCCTTACGGTATTAGGAAAACAGTTTTTATTGGCCTCTTATGAACAATTTTGATATGAAATCATTAAATTCAAGTATTATATATAATATTAAGATAAAAGTTAATATGTAAATTTCTTTATAATAAGAGAAAAAAAATTCAACAATTAAAATATTAAACCTAATAACATATATAAATGATTCATTAAGAATTAAATTCTCTATGTTGATACTTTAATTTCATCTATTATTTTGACACTTTTATAAACGATGTTAACTTTTAATAACATGTCAATATTAGGAAGAACTGAATCCCTACATAATACTTTTATAAGATAAAATAGTTATTTATGAAATACTGTTAAGAATTATTTATGAAATAATTATTTATGAGGATTTACATATCCTAAAGTAGCTCACTAGATTTGATATAAGGAACATTCTGATCTAAATTTTCATTTAAAATTTTAATTTCAATTATTATTTTGATATTTTTATTAACGATATTAAATTTTAATAACACATCAGTATTATGAATAATTATATGATACTTTTATATTAAATTTTAGTACAATGCTTGGTAAAATTATGTTTTTTTATATAAATCCTAAAAATCTAAAATGTAGGTATAAATTTAAAATAATAGTTAAAAGAATGAATAGTTATTTACTAAGAATTATTCTTGTAGAATCAATATGCTTTTATTAAAAGAATTAGTATAAAAAACAATATCCTCCTTGATCAAGAATTATTCATTACATTGGGGATATATTTTAAGAAAATTCGAATCATATAATTTACCAGTCGTGTTTATGAACCGAAAAATTCATTAATTGATTAAGTGGTTAAGAATGCTCGTATTATCTCATTATATGTGGGTTTGAACCCTAACATTAGTCTTGAGGTGCCTTTAGTGACTAGATGCCTTACATAAAAAAGGACCATGCTTCTATGTATTTGTTGTGAAGTTGTTGCTTTGTATACACTGTTATATAATAACAATTTGTCTGTTGGGTAATAAATCAAATTTACTGCATGAAACAGAAAATCAATCCCTGATTTGTCTATTTCCCGATAGATCATAAAAAGGGAAAAAGAACTTCACCTTGTCCAACTTCATCAAGTTTCTTACTTCGATACATCTGAATCAATAATGTAAAGTTAACAAATTTATGAAATGATTGACTCAAAAAAGGTTAAAACTAACCATTGAAATAGCAAATGAAAATGCTGTGTCTTTTTACCTGGAGATGACTTTTTACATGGGCAATGCTAAGTCCCTTAACACTCATCAATTGAAGGACTAACTTTGGAGTTGCTCCTGCAACAACAAAATTACAGCAAATAAACTTTAAAAACCCTCAAAATCATAATAAATTCAAGAAAACATTCACATGTGTATGTAATCGGGAGCGGGCGTAGAATTTTAAAATATGGATAAAATTAGGGAGACGACCCTTCCATCACCCCCATCGGTCCATCCCGTATGTAATGGTACTAATATTTGAGCTTACTCTCTTGGCCACCAAGCCTTTGAACAGCATGTAGGAAGGAGAGATGAAGATCAGGAGTCCACCGAAGCCGAGGCAATTTCGACCTAACGTATTGCCTTGCTGTTCTTCTACCATTACTTTTCTCTCCAGCGTCGCCGGAACTCCCTTTGGTTCTTTTCTCGATTTCATCGTCTTCCCCTTCTTCGCCATTAATCTTATAATAATAATCCTCCTCACTGCTAGCTTCTTCATTCAAGTCAAAGGATGAACATTTCTGGGAAGAAATGGACATTACAGCAGATAAGTTTTCAGCTTGTTGATCACCTCCACCCCTCTTCTCTTTATCTTCCATCTCTATCATTTGCTTCAGTCTGAGGAGAAATGAATCGTATATATAAATGTCATATATTTACTATATTAACCTACCAATTCCAGCTTTATTGTAGAAGTTGTTTTGAAATAAAATTTTCCATCGGAAATTCGTCTATAAATGGGTTTAGAAAGTTTCAACTGCTCTCTTACTCGACCTTCTATGAATGGAAAGGACGTGATTTAGGTAATAGATTAAACATCATCATCCACCTTTGTAAATGAAAGCAGTTTCAAATTTCATGAGTTTTTTTTTTCCTTTTCTTCTCTTCAAAACTTTGACAAATCATAACATTTCACAAGTTCTCTCTATTAAATACATGTTGTACAAACATTGAATGCATGACCGAAGAAAAAAAAATATGGGAAAGATACAGTGAAACCGACATCCAATGTTGTCGGAGGAAGATATTTTGGTTGCAGTGATATTAATTATATGTTGTGTAGGTAAGGGAAAAATACAAAACATCAATGGAGTTTGGATCTGATCTAATAAAAGTTTTTCAGTTGTGTATGAACTATATAGGCGAAAGACAGTGGGAATATAATAATGATAAAAATAAAAGTTTTGTTTCACAAATGATTCAGCCAAGAAAACCCTTTCAGTTCTTTCTCAGAATAGTTATAGAAAATCACTTATATATATATATACCAGTTTCAAGGAAAAGAAAACAAATCAATCAGTAGGCACAGGAAAGAAGAACAAATTCAACTAGCTAAAACAAAATAAGGATATCTTTTTCTTTTATTTGGTGTCAAAGATACAAACCATTGATGCTGGAGATTCCTGAAGCCTATGTTCCTTTCATGATGATGATCATCAGAAAACTCTTCAACTTCAGAATTTCTGAGGACGATATATATATGGAGATAGAGAGGCTTCAACAAGATCTTCCTTTCAAACCGATGATCAAGAGAGAGAAAGAAGAGCAAAACAAGGTGGGTAAGGTTTTTCATTCAATTTTGATCCTCAAAATTTATAAACTGTTATATATATATATATAACTTGATCTGCCCTCAAAAAATATATATAACTTGATCTTCTTGATTTTACACGCAAAATAAAATTGACACAATGTAGGAAACAGATTAACTGTAGCATAAATCATGTGTCTGTTCATCCATATTATTTTTCTCTTATTTCCATGAATAATGAATTCTCCGTTGACAGTTGTCTCCCTTTTTTTATTCCCTTTTTCCTCTTTTGGTCATTAAAATTGGAGTTAATTGTCACTTTAAATTATGATTTTCATTTTAAAATAGTTTCTAAACCTTTAAATATTTTAATTTTACCCTTAAACTATGACTTTCATTTTAAATTGGTCTTAAAACTTTTAAATGGTCCAATTTCATTCTGAACTATCAGTATATGCTAATCATGTCTCCTATTAATAAAATTAGTTTAAATATTATTAAATGTCGTGTAAACACTAATATGTATTATCTAATAATATGATATGATATTAACAACAATTAATGTTGGATTTAAATAAAATAATGATTTAACTTTGAAACATAGAAAGTATTAGAAACAAATTGAGAGAATATAAATAAAAAACAAACAACCTTTCAATTTCATTCTAAAAAATGATTTTGGAGGACAAGATACAAATTGAGAGAATATAAATAAAAAACAAAGAACCTTTCAATTTCCCAATCGGCTAATGAACTCATATTATTACATAATGCATATCAGTGTTTATATAGCAGTTAACATTTTTTTTAATAATTTGTTTAATATGGGACATGATTAAAACATTGATAGTTTAGCGATGAAATTAGAATGTTCAAAAATTTGAGAAGCAATTTAGACTTATAGTCAAAGAGATATGTGGTGCAATTTACTCATAAATTTAGTTGTTTGACCTTGGTTTATAGGGTCTTTAAGCCACTCTTTTTACAGTGTTAAATGCTAATTCAAGTATTATTATCAATAACATCATGAGATAATTGTGAAAAAAAATGTAGGGATCATTTTCTTCATCAAAACCCATAAATCTCTTCCTACCTAAACAAGGACTTTTCGTTTATTGGTTAAACTACAATGATAGTAATTAAACTACAAATATAATTTTATTAAGGATTTAAAAATCCCAAAACCTAAATTGCATGCCTCGTTAAAAATCTCTCTAAACTTATATGGAGAAAAAAGAGTACAACACAAATAAGTAAGAGCCACAACTTAAAGAGTAACAAATTCAATCACTGTTATAATTAATGTTGAGTTTGAATTAACTCTTTTTATTTCCCTAAAATATATGTATTTGCAATGAAAATTATAATAGTGGCTGACATGAAAATATCCCTTAACGACAATGAATTAAATTAAAAATCGATTTCAGTGATTAAAGTATAAATGATTTAAAAGTTCAATGATTACATATATAGTTTATCCTTTTTATTTCTAAAAGTAACATATTCTTGCCTTGTACCATGTATAGAGTCTTAATTTTCAGTGCAAATATACGTACATTATTGATATGATTTTGACAAATGTATACATAGTTTCATTATATCCGACGAGCGTTAGTATAAGTGGTTGGGATTTAAGAATTTGAGTTTGTAAGATTAAGTTCGAATCTTATCACTGTCATTTTTTATACGAGATCTGTAAATTCTTATGTAAATCCCAAATGAATCTTAAGTATGCCTTAACCCCATATTGAGAGATAAATTTTTTTGTAAAAAAAAAAGTGATTCGTGTAGGAATTATTGTGGGGTCGCAACAATTACTACTTTTTAATCAATTTCGGTGGATCTCGTCTCCGCTATTCAAGCCAAGTTGCTCTTCTAACAGCTGAGTAAATGAGCTCTCAACACTAATTGGCATATACAAAGATTTTAAAACAATGATTCTCTTATATATATATATATATATATATATATATATAACATAAAATTGTATAAACTTTGATTCAAAATCTTATACTTAAATGTCAGTGATAGGAACAAATATACTTTTTAATGAAAGAAAATAAGATTATTGATATGATTTGAACCCTATGATTAAGGTGCTAGCTCAATTAATTAGAAAAAATTATTTCATTAGAATTTTTAAAATTTTGAAAGCAATTTAGTGTCAATGAAATAGTGAAATATTTTATTATTATTTATAATAAAGAAATAGTGAAATTTGTGTGTGTGAAAAATGCACATACATATACATGTTTAACGTCAATGAAATTTCATAAATGGTCAAATTAATGATGTAACGAAAACACTTATATAGGAAATTCCAAGGAACATCATCTAATTAAAGGTTAAAAAACGATCGGAAATGGGTCCAATCGAAAATGTGATAAAAAAATAATATTTTCAATTAGGCACAATCTAAAACGTAAACTTTTTTTAATATTTCTAGTTGAACTTAAAATGTTAGAGATAATTTAATATTATAAGTTATACCTAACCGAAAATGTATGATTTTTATCACATTTTTTGTTACGCCCATTTTCTACCATTCTTTAGTCTTAAATTAGGCAATTTTACGGCACAACTTTTCCAATGTATATATATAGGGGGGAATATCTTAGGTACGGAAGCCTTAATATACGGCTAAAGAAAGGCGTTACCGGAAATATTATTATTGTTTTTTCTATCAAAAATGTTAATATTGGGTTCTACCGGAAATTAGTTAGCGAAAATAATATTTTCAGTAAAAAATAATATTTCATGTAACACTTTACCGTAAATATTAAAAAATAATAATATTTTTGATAACGTCTTTTCCTTAACCTAATATTAAAATTGTAGTAACCAGCCGTATGCGTGTTGTTTTCTGTGTAACATGAAAAAGGGTTTACTTTCCGAGGCTGAATGGGAGATAATTTGGACTGTTTTGTCTTCTCTGTTTTGTCTTTGGAGGAATAATTAATAGGATTAAGTTTGGCTCGTTATCTGTGAAATTTAATTTATTTTATGTTCTAAAAACAGAGATGGAGAGATTATTTTAATTATAAAATAGATTTAATTCTTGTTCTACTATTTAAAATCTTATGTGTTGATTATATAAAGAAAACAACCCTAGGGTTGCTAGAAAACACTACAGTTTGTTGTCTTTGTTTGCATGGGGGAGTTGACGATATTTTTATTTGTTTAAAACCCCCATAGCGAATCTTTCAAAGAATTATTGCATCTTTGTTTTGTATCATATTTTCCAGGATAAAGACATCCAACCTACCATCACTGCCCATAAGGGCATCGGGAAATATATATATATTTAATTGAAACTATGTGAAGAAAGGACATGGTGATAAATACATAAACCAACTTTAATATCAGTAATCTGTGTTTTTATTTTGTCTGTTTCTTATGATTGTTTAATGTTCCCATTTCTTCCTGTTTGGACCCTTTCACTGTTCCAGAAATCGGATTCTATTGGTGTCATGAACCGGCTGATCAATCGCCTGCTTCCCCACTACCACTCTTAAAGGTTAGTTTAGTACTATTTTTTTTTCTCGGCAAAATTAATTTTATTAATAAAACCTAAATTAAGAGTCTCGTTAAAAATATCTTTAAATTTAAATGAAAAAAAAGAATATTCTTAATTAAGGAAAGTTACACCACCAAAAAACACGTTCAAACCAAATACAACAAGATAACACTCCGGCCATACAAAATACGACCCAAAATATTACAAACGTCATCCCCAAAGCTTACAAGCACCCCCTTAAATTTAGTTAACACAACAGCCATACAACTATCACGAGACCTGCTTTTAATATATTATGGAAACCACCCACGGAGCTGTTCATCTCGGAATGATCACGAGCGAACTTGGCTAGAATGAGCAGAAAAACGCCTTGAGTTTAGTGCTACTATTAAAAGAAAAATAAAAAAGTTTGAGTAAGAGAAAGTGTGTTTGAGTATTATATAGATATTATAATATTATATTATCAAAGATGTCAATTTTTAAAAAAATGAATTCAAAACATCTTAAAAATACGACCAAATATCTTAAAAATTACGACATGAAATTATTTCTTAATTTTTTTCATTAGAAAGAATATGCTATATAAAAAGGCACTTAAAAAATGGTTATTATATAAAAAATTATTCCTGAACACCCAACTACATTTTTGTTGAAGATTACAGATTTATAAAAGAAGGTAAACAACCTTAATGATGCATAGGGTTATTGCCTATTGGATTTTGGTTCCAAAGGGTCATTTATATTCCACCAATATTTCCTTGTTTCAGAGTCGAAACATCACATTAATGCACGTAAATGGGAGATATGAGGTCAATAAAGTGCCATTTTCCTAGACTTCATACCAAATATACTATATATATATATATATATATATATATATATATTCAAATGAGTAGTTGTAACAAATTAGACTTTGAGTTAATTCAATTAGTCATGGGAGAGTAAACCATACAAAGCTTGTTTTCTATTTCCTTTACAATATCTAAATGGAATCATCTACCTAATAATACTACTACTACTATGAAATCATCTATATCTGATTTATTAATCGATTAATTTAAATTGAATACTATAAAGATTTATTATGGAAATAATTCTTTTAATCTATTTTTTCATTCGTAACAACAAGATTTGAATTGAAGTGCGTAGATAGGTTTATTCGACAACTATATTTATAATCATAAATAGTAGATATAATATATAATTTTAATATTAACAAATATTAAAGATTTGGTAATAAAATACATCAGAATCGTATCTTATAAATAAAAATAGACATTCATATAAATAAATATTTATAACACTTCCCTTTAAATGTCTATAAAGATAATATGTCTCGCTAAAACTTTATTAAAATAAAAACTATGTGAGGAAAAATATCTTAGTGACGTAAAGAGTACACACATCTTTAATACACATAACATATTGTCTCATTAAAAGTTTTATCAAGTAAATCTAATTAAAACTTTAATTAAGAGAAAAAGAGTGCAATGCATATTTCCTTGCCCTCATATAAA